ACTGCTGGGCGAAGTGCATGAGTTGCACCCGAGTCCAAAAGCACTGCAGACCCGCTGGTGTCATAGTCAAGCTGACTCACCTTTATCACACGCAATTGAGGAGCACGAAGGGACTTGAGGAGTTGTGTGGCTTCATGGAGCAACGCTTCACTGGTTGCTGCCCCTGTGTCCGCACCCCCTTTCACCATTGTCGTCTCCCCCGATTGACCATCGCCCGAACCAGCGACGCTATTGCCATCCTGCTGGACCTCCATCTCTTGCAGCTTTGCGGTTGCGGCACCTTGCAAAGTGGTGCCACCTGACTGCAATCCAGCAGCAGCATTGTAGGCCCCATTGGAAGAGGATTGAGACTTCCCTCCCCCTGAGCCGGAACCCGGCTCACCAGCGCCCTTGCCTGCTTTGATCGGCGAGGACTTGACCTGTGCTTTCAACTTGCACTCAGACTTTCGATGATCTTTTCCTCCGCAAATCCAACACCGCTGGGCCTTGTCTTCAATACCATCCCAGGCATGTGACCACTTGCATTGTTTTCCAGCCTTACAGCCAGTGTCGGAGCGGAAATAGCGACATGGAAGGGCAGCTGTAGACGTGCCTTTGCCCTTGTCTTGAGAGCCAGACTGACCCCCACTTGTAGTTTTGCCCGGAGCTTCGAGTTGTTTCACACGCACCGGGGTTGAGGTCGAAGGTGGCGTTGAACTCAGCAAAGACAAAGTTTCCACTTCAGCCAGCAAACACTGACTGAACCGCCAGACTCCACTGTGATGTGGTTGCTGATCCACGCCCAACTGCAAGCGGCTCTGAGCCAAACGGAAAGCAGCTTGAGCGTCCAGACTTGCGATCTGTGTGACCGCTGGTTCCAAAGCCTTGAGGAGAAGCGTGCCATCAGGCAAGACCGCCCCAATCTCCTGAGCCCTTGAGAAATGCCGTCGCCACGAGCGCAACACTGAGGCCAGCTCTGACACTCCAGCTGCCTTGTCCAGGGCCGTGAGCTTTGCGAGGAGGATCGACTTCTCCCCTGCGCCACCAGGTTGATAGCGCACCAGCAACCTGAACAGCAGAGCCGTGGAATTGAGTTCACGGGCCGTGATCAGTGCCTGCTGCTGATCCGCCGGGATGGCTTTGAGCAAAAGGTTCACACCTCGCTGCTCTGTTCTCTGGTACTGGAGGTCGAAGAGCTCATCCGGCAATTTCGGGTCCAACTGAACCCGATCTAGTGGGGATGCCAACTTCCAGCGGTCGTAATAGCATTGAGCTTCCCGCAACGTCAAATTCCACCACCGAGCCGAGACCGCTGACAGATCTCGGAGGACTGGCCCGCAGACCGCAAGCCAGTCGCCAAGCTCCAACGGCGATGCATCACTCGCCAAGATCGGCAGGTCGGCCTTGCTGCCGCTGCCCTCACTCCACGGCTGTGGAGCTACCATGGAGGAGCCACCATCAGCGCGCCAGCGCCCATAGTTGGTGTCTTCTCGCAATCCATTCATCTGCTTCGGCTGCCAACCATCACCTTGGGATACACAGCCTGGACCTATGGCATACGTTACCATGTCCATGATGATCATGACCACCATCAAAACCCCCTCCACGATCACGAACAACTCCCCGAAAATCATGACCTTGGAGTTCCGAAAAACCACATCCACTAGGCCCCACCGGTGGTGGTGGAACCTCATGCGAACAAGAAGTGGCCAAACCAGGAACCCGCTCCTTCATGTAGGCCACGGAGTTCCGGAGCTCTTCAATCTCACGCTCCAACTGCGAAGCCCTATCTTCATGTGCTCGATCAGGAGCCCTGCACGGCAAGAAAGACTTGCCCTCGCGCTGATCCAGCGGGACCCAACGTGAATCACCATGAGGGGCTCGACCAGCCATGAACTCATAGCCGTCCAAACTAATTTGAGCCGAGTGGCTAGCCGCCGGAAACGGAGGAAACGAAAGCTCCAAACGCTCAGTGGCAGGTGGTGAATCCGGTGGCACTTGTGTCCCATTGGGGGTGTATCTAATCAGCCGAGGCACGGTCACCTTGGTACGAGCTGTCGGACTTCTCCCCCTGGGTGTGCGAGGAGCTGCACTCGACTGCAGCTGCACGTGACCACCCCCTTCACCCGACACTGCAGCTGACTGACCGTCCTTGCTGTCCACCTGCTCCCATGACGAGGGGGTAGAAGTCGGGCCACGACCCTGAGGCTGTTGTTGCTGCTTCAGGGTTTCAATTTCTGCCAACAACTGAGCATTTTGCTCCCTCAAAAAGATCACCATCTCCGCTTCTAGGGCCTTTTGCAGGTTGTCGGCTGCTTCATCCCTTCTAGGTGGGCGATGTTCTGGAGGTAGGGGCCCCATGGATGCCGTGGGATCAACCTTAGAGCTTCCAGTGGTGGGCATCATCCCCTCCGATCTCTTCCCCTTGACGGACCCGCGACCTTCGGCACGACCGCTCGGTGGAGTGACAAACATCCGCCCTCCAGAGCTTTGGGACAATTCACCTTGCCCCTTGCCCGAGCGCAGCCCACCAACGCCTTCCACCGGCATCAGCTCAGGCTCCTCGAGGTCGCCATCCCCATCATGGGGAACAGGGAGATCCTCAGGCCGCTGGCGTCTCAGCTGGAACTCCGCCTTCAGCTTGTCCGACCACCATGGATTCGCCTCCATTGGCGGTAGTGACCTAGCCCGGTCACGATCCATGGCCTGAACCGCGGGGTCGCTCCTAGCGAGGGCCACGTCTTGGGCTCATAACCCTCGAACAAAACTCGCACCTTTTACTTGGACAAAAAATGCCTGTGCGCGGTGGTCTCACCGTCAGACCAAGAATTCCTATAACAACCAAAAAACAAAAACACACCAAGCAAAGAACTTGGAAAAGACATTTAAGAAGATAATTTTATTTATATGTAATGGATAAATTTTGTAGATACTGTGTTAAAGATTTACCAATTAATAATTTTGAAGATGGATTGAAGACATGTAAGAAATGCTTGGAATACAAGAGAAGAACTATGACAAACATAAAGATAAAGTGAATGAAACACGAAGAACTAAATATAAAGAACATGAAGAATATAGAAAAATAAACAGGAACAAATACAAAACTATCGTGATAAAGTTGTCGTTTGTAATGTATGTAATTCATCAATGAAGGCACACTGTTATTCAAGACATTTAAAAGCAGCGGAGCATAAAAGGAATTTAGGAACGGTTGATGGATAGGATCTTGCAAAATGAATAAGGTAATAATGCTTTTGACTGCTATGATTTTGAAAATTGAATGAGGTAAGTATGCTTTGACTGCTATGCTTTTGAAAAATTGAATGAGTTAATCGTGTTTTGATATTGTTGAGAAACATGAAGCAATCAACAATATTTAAACTGACTTTTTGGACTGTTATGTTTTATTTCTAAAAAAAATGTTTTGTTATACTGCTATGATATTAGTTTAGAAAACTTCACTCAATCAACTTTTTTTTTCATTTTTAGGGGAGCATCTGGAGGTGGCTTATGGTGATAGGGTGATACTGCTGGATTCTTCCCTCAGTCTCCACTGAGAAGGGAATTTGCATTTCTTAGGGTGGATTTCTGATCGGCAGACAGAGAGGATCCATGGCAGAACTGGGAGTGGTTTATTTGTCGAAAACCACGGAGACATTACTGAGCTTGGTCTGAACCCCCCTGCTTTAGGAATTCGTTGTCAATCATATAGGTGTGTATTTAAATAGGGAGGCCTCCCAAAGACCTCTAGAAGAAGGGAAATAGACCAGTCTACCTATTGGTTGGGGCTCTCCCCATTAAAATACCGGTCCGCATATCGTCTTGGTTCATGGTAATTTTCATGTTGATGCACATGGTCATTCCATGTCGACGCTTAGACGCGGACGTGGCCGGAGTCGACATGGGTCGCGAGACGGACTGGTCACTACTGAGGACTGTGAGTCAGTCGACCTGCGACCTGCTTCAGTCCTCGGGGCCAGTTCATGACATCCAAAAAAAGGATCCTGTGGTTTTTTTGCACATGTGACCGAAAGGAAATTAGGAACTATCGGACTATCGTTTTCAAAGCGTTTTTGTTTACGTTTCATCCCCGCCTTTCCAAACAGCTGGAGGCGAAAAAGGAATCGAATTATAGACTTTACCACCAACATTGGATTTCAAGGAGTGGACACCACAAGGAAGCAATGCGAAGTCCAGACTGTTTGGGATCTATGCTGGCTTAGCCACTTCGGGTGCACCTGAACTTTGGAATCCTCCCAGAACTTTAAGGGAAAAGTACAGAACACCCATAGTTTTGGGGATGAACACCTTGGCAGATGTTCCCTTAAACCTCCTTAAACCAATCCATTGCAGAAAACCTGAGATCCTCTTCACCCGTGTCGCGGGGGAAAAAACCGGGTTCCCGCCCCGCGTCGTGAGGTACAAGAATCGCATGCTGGTGGTGGGTGGCCATGATGGTGCCAAGCACCTGTACGCCGCCTTAGACCGGTCGACCGGGAACACCGATGGCTCAACCAGATAGATGGGCAGGCGTCGTTGGAACTCAGGGTCCCCGCAATCCATCTGAGGCAGTTGCCAACCAGGGCACTCGGTTCCGGTCGCATCTGTGGTGCTTTTCTTTCTTTCTCAGCCTTCTTGACAGATCCACCATGAGATGGGCAGGTTGGGCGTGGAATTGGTCCCGCAACGGTCCCGTTGGTGTGACTGGACATGTGGAGGGATTCTTGAAACCATAACTCCCTCCATTTGGATTGGACAGCCTCTTCAAATGATGTCTGGCAAGTGGGTTTTTATTGATCAAGAGTCTACATTCACATCACTAACATCATTAACAACATTAACATCATACCGCAGTGAACCATACCGCGGGGCCAGTGATTTTGGTACCAAACACTCCGGCTGTTTCAGATCATCGGGAAGGAAGCGTCACGGCAGCGTCTGGCTCGTTGCTTCGATGAACCAGGAACGACTTCTACCAGTTCAACTTCGACTCCCTCGAGTCCCGGGACCCAGTCTGGAGTCGACGTCTGACCCGCTTTGCCGTCCACGTCTGACATGGTCGGTCTCTCGCCGGATGGTTTCCTGAAGGCCAGTCGGTCGGCGGTTTTGGCCAAGCTGGCAGCAATTCCCCTGCTTTCCCTCTTTCTCTCTGACATGATTTTGCAAGCTGGTTCAACTGGAAGGACATGTTTACTTTGCTCTTGATGCATGACATCTTGTCATGTAGATTGTTGGTGATTTGTCAACCTCCTAGATCTGAAGTGCTTTACAAGCCACAGGGGGTTATCAATCAAGATTCTGCATGATTGGATTTGGATGTTGCCTCTGAAAGCACATGCTTTCAGCACCGCTCTTGGTGCGAGAGATTCTTGCTGCGACCTGACCCCCTCATCTCCTGGCAAGGAGCTTGGTCTCCGGGTCAAATACGTCATGACTGCACTCTCCGGCGTTCAGACTCTTCGGACACCGCTGTCTCCTCCCAACGCCCACCCGTCGCGATCCGCCGATCCCACCCGAGACGTCCCGCGCGTATCCAACGTCCCGCGGCCACGAGCCTTCCGCGCGCGCCGTTCGGCGCCGATCGCCCCGACGCTTCCGCGACCCGAGCAGCGCTTCGCCACAAGGCCCGTGACCGTGTTTCACGCGTCGTTGCAGGTGGAGCACCTTTCAGGGGCTGTGAGTGAGGGAGTGAGTGACCATCCTTTCTGACGCTTTGGGGTGGTAAAGAGACCCTTCGGCCGAGCCGCGGGGAAATTGGGAGTTCCCTTACCGACATGCTGACACCCTCAAGAGCCATGCAGCAAATACTGGGCATCCATGTGGAAAGGTGTCCCTGTGAGTGACCGTGGGCGAACGGCGAAACTGAAACAAAGAACATAAAAAAACCTGTTCCCTCAAAATGTCGGGTAAACCACCTGTCAACCAAATGATGTAGACTGTTGATACATAAAAGGACCCATAAAGCCCAGCATTTCGATTGTACCATCAACCGT